TAATCTCCAGAAAGATTCTCTGTGCTGCCGGTTTCAGATTAAATGCTGATAGGTGGCACTACTAAGAGACAAGTCAAGAATACGTAAAATCCAGATGGAGAGGTTAAAATCCTGCGGATTCCCCTTCAATCTAACTCAACCTATAACATCTACATTTTAATAGCTGATTTTCCGCGGATCACAAGATTTCTTTTTGCATAGGCCCTTGATGGTATTAATGAGAGAAGGGGAGAAAAGCATATGCTTAAATGCCTGGGGGCAACTATAACAAAGGAAGAGACGACAGTGTATTAGCACAATTCCTGCACTCACAGCACACTGCTTGCTCTGAGCAGTCCAGACAGGACACGGACTACACAATCACATCTCTGTAACTAATGTGCTTACAGACTCCAAGAGGGTGATATCTACCAACTAAATATTGGTCAAAATGGGAGCTAACACTCAGACATCTGCTCTAAAGAGAGCATCCCTTGTACCTGCTTCCACAGGCCACAAAGATACACTCTAGTTAACACATCACTGACAGGATGACGAGAGCTCCTGTCAGACGCTGGCCAGCTCAGTGTTGGAAACAAAACGCACGGCCCCAGCTGACTAGCTAGAGAACGTCTGGGGGACAATTACAGAGCACCTGACAAGGCTTCGTGCCTGACTGACTTGAGAGCCGATGACACGGCTTTAAACAGCAATCCTTCCCTACCTCTGGTCACAAAACAGCAAAAAGTTAACTGATACACCCTTGTAATATCATGATTTATTCCTTTGCTTTGAATACATGAGACTCTGGGCCGATGTCCTGCTAGTCTGCTATTCACTTGGGGCTTAAACCTCTAGGACCTGCCTACGGCATGTACAAAATCAACATTCTTGTTCAGGATTACCAGGAACCCTTCCGTGTGTACCGGATAATGTACACATCAGTAGGATAAACACAAAACCGATGACATTCCAATTCATTCAACTCAAAACACGGAAAAATATAATAGTGAGTCCTAACAAAATACATTTTACTGTAAGGAGGAAAAACCCACGAAAAATTTTAAAACATAACAATACTCTTGATACTTTTGCTAACACAGCTCAAAACTTTTTTATTTTAAAGTTTATCGCTGTAAAGATAATTACAAATTATAATTTTAACTACACACAATACCTGAGGAAGGAACACTCGGGTAGCTCACTATCTGTCAGGGTATCACCAGTAAAACCCCTGGCTAGCTATACAGTTGACAGATATGATTCTAATAAAATTATGACCATATCAAAGTATAAATCCAAAGTTCCCAAAACTATAACAAAATTATAAATGCGAGGAACTTATACATGCTCTTCCAAGAATTAAAAATTTGGCCATAGATTAAAAAGTGAAAACCGGGTAAAACACAATTTCTTCCATTAATTTTAAGTACATTATAGTCTTTGTGGTACATAAAATCCTATAAGGATGTAAAAAGCTTCACTGGCAGTAGTCTTAACCTCAATTCATTGATACGTTAACTATTCCTTCCTTGGTCGTTTCAGAGGTTCCACTAAACGCTTTCTAAAAGATATTTACTTCTAATTTATGTTATGGTACTAGTCTTTGACCTTAAACATTACTGGGCGTGGAATTTATAGCACGCATGTGTGTATATACATGAATTTTTCAAGCTAGATTCAAGTGAAGCAGCTTCCCCTACAGAAGGAGGGTGAGGAGATCATGAGAGCAAACTTGAATTATGTTTCTTTTATCAGTCCTACTGCCCCAGATGGTGAACCAAAACAAAGCTGTTAACTGAGAGGTGACATCACCACCAAGTTTTCAGGAACTTTCATAAACAACTGCTATTACGTTGACCTCAAATATAAGAAACAACTCCCTGGGGGCTTCCCTGGTGGCGCAGTGGTTGAGAGTCCGCCTGCCGATCCAGGGGACACAGGGTCGTGCAAAAAAAAAAAAGAAACAACTCCCTGACTAATACCAAGCCTTTATTAAAATCATTTATTTTCTAATTCAAACAAAGTTAAAGGGTAGGCATGTTCATTTTTACTCTAAACTTCAGATCTAGATTATTATAAATTTATAGCTGATAATCATTTAATCTTATGCAGATAAAATTCTAAGCACTTCATATATACACATATGTGTGTGTGCATGTACACATATCCTTAATCTTTAAAGCAACCCTATGAGATTAAAACTAGTATCACTCCCATGTTCCCAGTTTAAATGTGAAGAAACTGAGTGGAAGAGAGGTTACCTAGCCATTAAGAGGTGTTTACAAATTACAACAAAAAGAAACACCAACATTTTACAATACCTACCAAAAAATGTTTTTACAAAATATTTACATATATTCAGATTTCTTTCCTTTTTTAATTGAAGTATAATTGACTTGAAATATTATATTATTCTCAGGTGTAAATACAGTGATTTGGGATTTTTATACATTACGAAACGATCAGCATTATTAAGTCTAGTTACCATCTGTTGCCAGGGTTATGGCAATATTATTCAGTATGTTCCCCCTGCTGTACATTACATTCCTGTGACTTATTTATTTTCTCACTGGAAGTCGGTGCCTCAGCCCCCTTCACCTGTTTTGCCCATCCTCCCACCCCACCTCCACCTCTGGCAACCACCTGTTTGTTCTCTGTATCTATAAGTCTGTTTCTGTTTTGTTACATTTGTTTGCTTTGTTTTCTTAGATTCCACATATAAGTGAGATCATATGGTATTTGTCTTTCTCAGTCTGACTTATTTCACTTAGCATCATGCCCTCAAGGTCCATCCATGTTATTACAAGTGGCAAGATTTTATTCCTTTCTGTGGCTAATATTCCATTATATATATGCACCACATCTTCTTTATTCATTCGTCTATGATGGACACTTAAGCTGCTTCCATATCTTGGTTATTGTGAATAAGGCTGCAATGAACATAGGGTTGCAGATATCTTTCTGAATTGGTGTTTTTGTTTTCTTTGGATAAAAACCCAGGAGTGGAATTGCTGGACCACATGGTAGTTCTATTTTTAATATTTTGAGGAACCTCCATACTGCTTTCCATCAGATTTACTTCTAATGTTTCCCTACACAGACCAGCTTACACGCTCGCGCCCACACTTCCTTCGGACCTCTGCTCAAACACCACCTCATGAAAGAAGGCTTCCCTGACCTCCCTACACAAAACTGAAATCTGCCCCGACCTTTCACCCCACATTCACACTCACTTTCTCCCTTATCTCTTGGTACTCAGCACCATATGACATAACAGCTATTTCTTCATTCATGTCTTCATCTTCTCTATCAGTTGGATATAAGCTCCAAGAGTGTTTGGACTTTGCTTTGCTTACTGCTCAATCCTCAGTGCCTAGAAAGTGGCGAGCACATAGTAGGTGCATAATAAATATGTTACATGAATTAATCTTGATAGGAATTTAGCTCCTAGGTCTCCAAGATAGCTTGTACAATCTTTTTAATCTTCAGGACAACATCCATATAGAAATATTCTTTATAATCTTGAAAAAACTGGCTTAAAAAAGTGATGAGGATAAGCTGTGTGGCGCAGCTAAAAAAGAAATAAATTAATAAATAAATGCAGGAAGTGTCAGTGTAACCAAAAATAATGTAGTTTAAAAAAAAATGTGATGAGGAGGAAGAGAAGGGGAGGATAAATAAGAATGATTTTACCTCAACGGTAAGTTAAGCACAGCAGAAAAGCAAATATATAAAAAGTACCAAATAATTCAGATTGAATTTCTTAACATCACTTTAAGAAAATGCAAATAATTACCTGCATCACTGACTAGCACTTATTCTCTGATTGAACTACATCATTTCTCCACACTTACTCCTTCAAATGCATATAACTTGTTTTTCAATGTGTAAAATAATGTATTTTCAATTTTTTTTGAAAAGTGGGCATATCATTATTGCATTTCAAAATCTCAAAACTGTATTTTTTCAACTCTAGAGTAATGCAAATAACCCAAAATTAGCATCAGGAGACCCAGTTTCACATTACCTGTCTCCAACTATCTTATTTGGCCTTGGGGTAGCCATTTAACCTTTCTCTGAAAATATCAACACCTTTCTCATTGTTACACCCTAAAGAGATGCCCTAGAGAAATCCTGAAGCTCCTTCTGCTCTAAAATACTAAAACTTTGCAGAATAAGGTTTTTATTTCTACTATCAGAGAACAAAACATAGGTATTATCTTATTTTTATCAGTTAGCCAAATTTCAAGGAAGCTAATTCATGAAATATTAAATAATGTTTTTAATAAATATCTCATACATTACTCAAAACTATATTTACATTTATATTAAAATTTTTAGGTCAAAAATATTAAAATATTAATGCTCAAAGTGAAAAAAATTAGAAAATCTAGCAACATACTTCTGAATGTTTTTCTATGACCCAAGAAAACTCTATTCTCTCCCTGCCTTTACCACAGTAATGAAGACCTTCCAGAAAAACATTTCAGTGAGTAGCATAAAACCTGTGATTTAAAAAAACACGCTATTTTGACTTTTAAGTTATTATCAGTCTGAAGAGCTCCTCCAAATCAGAACTATTATAGAACCCACTCCCAAACCACTACTTGGCAACAAAGATGAATCTACCTATTACCAGGTTAGGATAGCAGCTATTATCATGGCCCCTTGATTTCTTTCAAGTAGCTCCAATGGAAAAAGCCTCAAGTGAATAATAAAGATCTCATAATAGCTCTTAAGAATTCGTTAGACGGTAGAAGGCACTAAAATGAACTCTGGAGAGTTAAAAAGAAAAAAGAAAAAAAAAAACTCTCATCTTCTGATAAGAAAAAATAATTAACCTGACTTAATGCACCCGCGAAGGCCTTCCATAAATCAGACCTTTGTACTCCAAGAGCCAGATTAAAACCATATATCAAAAGGGTATGTAGATATTGTCTCGTAAGCACACGCAGAGCATTTCTGCCTCTGCGTGGGCTGCAGGTCTTTCCGCGCGGAGGGGAGTGTGAGATACTCACGGTGCTGAGTTTGCCGGAGGTGATGATGATGCGCCTCTCGTGCAGCATGCTGGCGTAGAGCTGCAGCATGTTGTTCACGTCCACAGCCACAAAGTACTCCGTGAGGTTCCTCTGCACAAGCCAGAGACAACTGTGTAAGTTACAGGGAAAGTATCTGATACGTTCGCCACAGAGTCTGAAGTACAAACAATGTTAGGAGAATAAGTGGTATTCATTAAAATAATTAAATTTAATTCTATTCTGCCGCCACACAGAGCACGTAGCCTTCTACTATTATTTGAAACATAGCCCTACTCTACGAAAACATTCTCAAAGGGTGATCAGAGCATCACATCTTTCCCACCCTCCCTCCCCAGGCACCTGAAAAAGAAGCCTGTTTTCTGGGCCCCAACCTAGACCTGCTGAGTAGTAATCTTCAGAGTACAGCCCCAGGAATCCATTTTCTAAAAAAATACTGCCAGTGGTTCTTACACACACTGAACTTTGAGAACTGCTGCTCCAGAAAATACATTTGAGTCTCCCTCTGTTTGCCAATCAGCCAGCAGGCAAAATCATTGCCTGAAACTATAGGCTACGCATAAGGCAACCACAGGATGAGATGGGTTTATAAAGCAGACCCTTGATTCTTTTTTTTTTTTTTTTTGCGGTACGCGGGCCTCTCACTGTTGTGGCCTCTCCCGTTGCGGGGCACAGGCTCCGGACGCGCAGACTCATCGGCCACGGCTCACGGGCCCAGCCTCTCCGCAGCATGTGGGATCTTCCCGGACCGGGGCACGAACCTGCGTCCCCTGCATCGGCAGGCGGACTCTCAACCACTGCGCCACCAGGGAAGCCCACCTTTGATTCTTTATTAAGGAAGATCTCATTTATATCCCATGTCAGGCCTGCTTTATACCACTATAACCAAATAAAAGTTGGTGTTAATTTGATTCATTGACTTAACACTTCAAATTGTTTTCCCCACATAGGAACAAAACTGGGGTAAGCTGCGTTAACTTTCACTTTTAGATCCTCTCCTCTTACTTATTTTTAATTTTCTGTACTCAAACTTAAGCCCATCAGAAAGCAACAAGTGATAAAGAGACTGAATGAGATGACAACAGACTGCAACTGCAGTGCCAGGTGCACTATGACCCAGAAGGCTAAAACTTCTAGTTGAGCAGGAAACTAAGAAATCCAATGTTTCTTCTATTTCTGTGAGGTACAGACCTTCCCAGAACAAACCAGTAATCACAGCAGGGCACATAAACGGAAACAGTGAGTGATGCTGAACTTGGTGGAGAGATTCATTTCCTGTTTTCTCTAGCTGAAGCACACCTCACCTTCTATTTCAAGTCTTCATAATACAAAATTACTTTTATGTCATTCAACGTTAATATTTTTCCTATAATCTCAAAGATAATTTCTAGATGGGGAATTATTTCTCAATGCAGAATGCTGCCTTATGTAGAGGTCCTTGCTTTTTTTTTTTTTCCTCTTCCCTAAACAGGACATTCTAAAAATAAAATATATTAATGGAGATGTAAAAATGTATATTCTCAGTGGCAGTTTTTCCTTAGAATGGTTCTTTAAAACTTCCAAAGTCACAGCAAAGTTTGTGAAGTTTGTTAAATCAAGCTGTTAGCGGCTTATCAGTAAATTCAAGAAAGGTAAGAAGGGGAGAGGCTGGAGCAAGAGACTGACTTATTAACAACCCTGATGTGGGGGCAGGCGCGCATGCGTCAAGGCGGTGAGTCAGCCTCCAGGAAACCTAGCAGACACCCGCAGCCCGCGGTGGACTCGCACAAGACCTGAGAGCCTGGGACGTGACCTGCTGATCTGATGGTCTATCCCAGGCCCACGTGAAGAGCAGCTGAACGCAGTCTCTCACAGGAGTTAACTGGACTCATCTGTACCAAAGACACCACTGACAGTCTCGGTTCGAAATTAGGAAATTTACAATTGTCTTCTTGGACTTTGTTCGCTCACTTATAACCCACGTGCTTTTGGAAACCTAACACTCAGTAGGTTCAAAAACATTTTTGGAAGCACAATAGAGTTCTGAGGAAAATAATACATATTCCTTAAGTTGATGTTTCCTTCACTTTGACTGAATTATTTCTACTAATTCATTTTATCTTTCCAAACAAAGCTGAAAAAAATTATGAAAGGAAATACTTCCTTTTCACACAGCATCCAAAAGTGTACTTGTCAATTCCATTTATCCATGTAAGCTTTTCTACAGAATTTTAATTTGTAATAACTACTAAAACACTGAAAATATTTCTAGTAAGGCTACAATCAGGACTCTAAATAAATGTGAACTGTAGCAATTTTATAATTTCTTGTAGTATCCTTCAAGCCTTACAAAACATGTATTACTTATATTAAAAATCAGGAAATCAAGTAGAGAACATCTAAAATTTGAAAAGATATATATATATACAAGGAATCTAAATACTATGGTCATTTCACTAAAGTAACTATTTGCGTGAAAATATTTCCCATTGCACGTGTTCCTTCCCTGCCAAAAGGAGTCACCTCCTGAGACCTCTCTTCTGCCTAATCTGGGGAGCTCAGGACCTAACTGAACACAGACTATCCTACTGAACTATCTCAAATGGTAGAAATCGTTTTTCTCATATAATTTGTCTTATCTACAGGAGGTAAAGTAGCAGATACATAAAGAAGAAAAAGAGATAACAACATTATTCTTTATTTTTTCATTTTTTCTCACAGAGAGTTACAATGTTTTCTATTTTTCTACAAAGAAATCCTTAAACAGTGAGACCAAAATAAATAAATTTCATAATATCAGTAGAATAAAAACAGAGAAAACTTACACTCTCCGGTATTGTTGGGAGTCCAGTTACATCAGGGGCAATGAAGTAGGAATGCTAATCAACAGAAATAAATCACAAAAGAAAAGGAGAATTAAAATTTGGTAGCATTACGTATAATTTGAGATTAAAAATTTTAAAACATATCAACTAAATAAATACCAAGGACTGATGCTCAGGGTTTGCTGAATTTGAGAGATTCTTAAATGAGATAGCAGGTTTATATGAGATTTAGCAATAACTTTCTCATACAAAAAGTTTAAGTGTTGGTTAAAAATATTTCACTTTAAAATTGAAGTGGGAATCCTAGAAAAAGTTTATTAAGACGACAAAAGCAAATTACTGAAAAATAGATAGATAGGTAATTTTAACACATTTGGTTTAGGGAACCTGGAAAAATAAGGCTTGTTTACCCAAGAATATATCAAAATCTATTGAGATTTTTGAGTTCCTACAGTTAAGTCCCCATAAATTTCTCTGGTACATATCAGCCACTATATTATTTAGAAAGCAGAAATAAAAAATAATTTTTTAATATTTAAAACTTCTTAAAAGGTAATTAACCCAAAATATGACTTTTATACACGCACTAAACAAATGTTAATTAGCTTCTATAACATTCAAAGCAATACAACAGTTCATAGACACATTTACACAAAAAGCATACTGTGCACACCTTCACGTTTCACAGAATGTTCCCAAATTTTACCACCCAGAATCAGAGTACAAGTCAATCACCAAAATCATTTTATTTTCTGTTCATATTAATCTCCAAAATCATTTTACTATCTCACATAAGGACCTACTTAATACTGTCTTATAATTAAAGATTTGGGGGCAAAAAACCATTCTAGCCAATACTGAGCACCACTGAACTAGTCAGAGCAAGGCTAGTTGGCACCGTCACAATGCGTGGCTTGCAGGGTGGAAGAACAAGGTCCTGAGACCCTGGACAAAACATGTGACAGACACCCATGTAGTGAGCCCACTTTGACATCACCACCACTGACACGAGGGTAAGCATGGATTTGGTCTCTATTAGCTATTTGTATTTGGATGGATTTTTAATAGCACTGTATTTCATAAAGCTATGCTTTAAAAAATAGTATAAACAGAAAATATAATCTGAATGATTAATTTTCTTAAAAGAAGCAAATTTACCACTTCCCAAAGGACCAGAGTGAATCTTAAAGACATAGTGAAAGAAGTAATTAACTTCCCAATTTAACAGTGATTTTCAGAAGCCAATGTCCTTTGAACTCACCCGTGCTAGGGAGGGCTGATCTTTCAGAACTTGCTCACTGGCAATAAATATTTCTTGGTTCTTACAATACATAAGAGACAAAATGAGTACTTTACTTTCATGGGAGAAATTTACACAACAATTTGCTGTGTATTTGAGACAAACCCATGTAGCCACATTATCTGCTGAAAACATTTGAATAGCATTCATTACAAATGTTTTAAATGCTGATTTGCTAGTTCTTGCTAGAAAAATCTTGAAGCACTTTAATTCTTGACTGAGAGTACAGAATTCTGTGGATATTTAATGGCTTTGAAATGTACTTTCAAAATAAGCATTTACATTAGATATTAACATTTCATAAAATCTCTGTGATATTCTAGTGGTTATAATGTCAAGTCTTGAAAAACTCATGTGACGGAATATTAATGAAATACGAAATTTTAAGAAAATCACAGCAGTTTCTCAAGTCTTGTCATATTTTTATAATGGAAATTCTGCAAACAAACAAAAATTTCTTTTCTACTTGTGGAGGAACAAAAATGCCTATGACCATCAATTTTAACCTGACATCACAAAACTAAAACTGTACTAGTAGGTGAAGACAAGTGTTTTCATCCCAGTTTTGCTGGTCATTAACTGCACAGCACTGGCACGTGACTTTATAACCTACTATTGAAGTCAAATGAAATTACTGAGTGGACTTTACATAAAGGTTTATCAACCAGTTGGATTTAACAATACCTAAGATATTGTATTGAGAACAGGTGAACAAGATTTGAAACCTATCACAGACTACTGATTCAAAAGCTTATATGTGGGGCTTCCCTGGTGGCACAGTGGTTGAGAGTCCGCCTGCCGATGCAGGGGACACAGGGGACACGGGTTCGTGCCCCGGTCCGGAAGGATCCTACATGTCGCAGAGTGGCTGGGCCCGTGAGCCATGGCCACTGAGCCTGCGCGTCCGGAGCCTGTGCTCTGCAACAGGAGAGGCCACGGCAGTGAGAGGCCCGCGTACCGCCAAAAAAAAAAAAAAAAAAAAAAAAAAAAGCTTATATGTGAGGCTTAAAATATAAAAATAACCATCAGACATAGAAATACAACACAGTCACTCAAATTCCTTTACCAAGATTATTTCAGATATAATAAAAATCCTCTCCTTATCAAATGAAACGTCAACTTACTAGCAACTAACATTCAAATAGCTTTTTGTGGTATATCTAAATATATCATTTCATAAAATTCCCCAAACAACTCTCTCAAAAACTGATTCACTAAATTTCTCAAATGGATAAAAGGGAACATCAAAAGAGATTAACTTTTTTGCCTCACATCACACATTCAGTGACTGTGATTTAAACCAAAATCTTCTAGTCTTTGGGTATTAAGAAGCCTAGACATCTTTGACTTACAGTTCTTATTAATAAAGGTAAAGTGTTTCAATATCCAATATTTCTGAAATGTATTTTTATAAGATATTTAGTTACTCCTGAACAAATAATACTGTCAAATTTAGAGAATATATTTTTATTTCTCAGCTTTCCACAGCTGCCTCTATCATCTTAGCACTTACAGTATGTTTCCTTCACCATTTAACAAAGTGTTAGAATCACTTCATACATACAACTCTTCCAAAGAAAAACACTTATTTTCAGAAAATCCAGAGCTTTTCCTCCTTCTCCGGGGCATTTTTCCTTGTCCTTTGTACTTCATTCCCACTAACTGTGAACCTGCATTCTTTCGGCTTCAATGACGTCATACAAATCTGAGTTTCTCCTTAACTGCTCCTTCCTCCAGTCCTCTCCCTCCATGTACTCTCTTCTTCCACACAACTTCTTCGGGCAATTAGACCTTACCCTCTGCTCTATCCTCTCTACATTCTGCCCTTTAAATTGCTCAGTTATTCCCACAACCATGTCTGCAGATGACTCCCCGATTCCGGTTAAAAATTCCAGGTTAGGGCTTCCCTGGTGGCGCAGTGGTTGAGAGTCCGCCTGCCGATACAGGGGACACGGGTTCGCGCCCCAGTCCGGGAAGATCCCACATGCCGCAGAGCGGCTGGGCCCGTGAGCCATGGCCGCTGAGCCTGCGCGTCCGGAGCCTGTGCTCCGCAACGGGAGAGGCCACAACAGTGAGAGGCCTGTGTACCGCTAAACAAAAAAATTCCAGGTTATCCTTAGCTTTCCAGCCCCCAATCTCTAAATGACTACATAACATTTATTTCCACTTTGGCATTAAGCAACAAAAGAGGATTCAGACATAAAGGGGCCGAGAACATTATGCTGTTAACAACAAGTGAACATTTCACAGAGGTGGGAACTGAGCTAGTTCTAAAGATACATAGTCTACAAGAGGTTTTAGAGGAAGCTGTACAACCAAGAAAGCACAATGTTCACTCGAGAAGATGAACAGAAAACTGTGACCAGAGTAGAGAATCAATTCATGGGGAAAAAAACTGAGACAGAAAAGTGAAAAGCTGGATTGAGGCTAAGAAGTGGATGGTCCTGAAAGGCCAAAAATTTGGACAAATTCTACCGAAAATGGGGGACTACTAAAGGTTTTCATCAGGGGACTTTACATAGTTGAAGGAAGTTTGATCTTACAGCCTTTAGAAGGGACTGGAAGGAGAGGCTGTAGACTAAGGACTGCTTGAAGTGATGAGCACCCAGACTAGGCTGCTGCCACCAGAAATATAAAGAAGGAAACCACAGAGGGGAATATTATGATCAAACAAAATTACAGGGGGAAATCTAAGCAAGAAGAAAGTTATTACCAAAGAAAGAATGAAATAAGGCTAACAGTTTCCTTATCTTGCAAATACCATATGCTAACACATATATATGGAATCTAAAAAAAAAAAAAAAAAGGGTTCAGACAGACCTAGGGGCAGGACAGGAATAAAGACGCAGATGTAGAGAATGGACTTGAGGACACGGGGAGGGGAGAAGGGTAAGCTGGGACGAAGTGAGAGAGTGGTATGGACATATATACACTACCAAATGTAAAATAGATAGCTAGTGGGAAGCAGCCGCATAGCACAGGGACATCAGCTCAGTGCTTCGTGACCACCTAGAGGGGTGGGATAGGGAGGGTGGGAGGGAGACGCAAGAGGGAGGAGATATGGGGATATATGTGTACGTATAGCTGATTCACTTTGTTGTACAGCAGGAACTAACACAACATTGTAAAGCAATTATACTCCAATAAAGATGTTAAATATAAAAAAAACCACCAAAAGACCTATTAACACGATTACATACATTTCAAATTGCTTTCTCCTTCAATTTCTCTTGCATCATTATATATTTTCCTTCCTTAATCAGGACAGTTTATTGTTATTTTGGAAGAACCAAAATCAACATAGGTAAATTTTAACATTCTATTATATGCCAAATTAATGAAGAAAATTAACGAAAACATTCATATTTTGTGATTATTAATTTTGAACACTTACAAAGCCTCCCAAAGTACTAGGGTGATTTTAGTTATAGACAGTACAGTTCATTAAAAGTTTCAGTGGTAAATAATCTATACCACCACAGCCTTACTGCTTTGAGAAACTTTAATCATATTTCCAGTATTTGGTGATTATACTAAAAGATGTATTGAAGTATGGGGAAAGAGTTTTTTAACCCAGAATCTTTATCATATAGTTGGTTATACAGTACATTTTCAATACTTATTATGTACTGTTTTCATTTTATGAGGGGTATTTGGTATTGTATACTTGTGTGGGTGTGGGTGTGTATTTTCTTATTATGGACAGATTTTACCTGAAAATCAATGTTTCTTGCAATCAAAATATTCTCAGATATTTGGTAACTTTTAGCATATAATTTAAAAATCTGTGATTTAACAACTACCGAAGTATACATCTATCATATCATGTTATGATAGTTAAAGTATGTCAGAAAGCCTCAATATCACCATGTAGTAATGTCAGTGCAGGCATTAAAGTCTTCATGGCAGCATGGGTGACTCAGCAGAGTTTCTAAACTGCTGTGACTCAAAACATCAATTACTGACTCAATACTTACCACACTCAAATTGACAGGAGTGTTTGCCTTTGGTACTGGCTGGTTATAGAGTGATTTGAGAGTTTCATTCAAATCATCTTCCTAGAGTTTAAAAAAAAAAAAAAAGTACATTTTATAAATGAAATAGGAACTAAGTAAATACAATTAAAACTACTTGACAAAATCATTCACTGTGCCTACTCACTTCAGACGTGTTATATACAGGCAGACCCTGGAGATATGGGGGGTTCAGTTCCAGACTACCGCAATTAAGCAAATATAGCAATAACGCGAGTCTCATGCATTTTTCAGTATCCTAGTGCATATGAAAGTTATGTTTACACTACACTGTAGTATATTAAATGTGCGAAAGCATTATGTCTAAAAAAAACATCATATCTTAATTTAAAATACTTTTTTAGCATACTAAACAATGCTAACCATCATCTGGGCCTTCAGCAAGTCAGAATCTTTTCACTGGTGGAGGGTTTGCCTCGATGTTGATGCTGCTGACTGATGAGGCTGGTGGGTGCTGAAGGGTGGGGTCGCCGTGGCAGTTTCTTCAAACAAGACAATAAACTTTGCTGCATCAACTGACTCTCCCTTTCATCGGCAGTCTGCGATGCTGTTTGATAGCATTTTACTCACAGTAGAACTTATTTCAAAATTGGAGTCAATCGTCTCAAACCCTGCTGCTGCTTCATCAACTAAGCTCATGTTATATTCCGAATCCTTTGTTGTCATTTCAACAATCGTCACGGCACCTTCACCAGGAGTAGATTCCATCTCAAAAAGCCACTTTCTTTGCTCATCCATAAAGAAGCGATTCTTCGTCTGTTCAAGTTTTATCATGAGATTGTAGCAACTGTCACATCTTCAGGCTCCACTTCTAATTCTCATTTCCTTGCTATTTCTACCACATCGGCAGTTACTTCCTCCAGTCAAGTCTTGAATCCCCCCAACTCAAAGTCATCCAATAGGGTTGGAATCAACTTATTCAAGCTCCAGTGAATATTGATATTTTACCTCTTCCCATGAACCAAAAGTGTTCTTAATGGCATCTAAAATGGTGAATCTTTCCCAGAGGGTTTTCAATTTACTGTGCCCAGATCCATCAGAGGAATCACTATCCGTGGCAGCTACAGTCTCCCGCAATGTATTTCTTAAATGATAAGACTTAATAATAAATTTTAAAATGATAAATACAATAAATATAAACATAAATTTAAAATAATGATAATAAATAAAAGTCAAAATTACTCCTTGATCAACGGGCTGAAGAATGGATGTTGTGTTAGCAGGCGTGAAGAAAACAATAATCTTGTTGTCCATTTCCATCAGAGCCCTTGGGTGACCAGAGGCACTGTCAATAAACAGTAATATTTTGAAAGGAATTTTTTTCTGAGCAGTAGGTCTCAACAGTGGGTTTAAGATATTCAGTAAACCATGCTGTAAACAGATGTGCTGTCATCCAGGCTTTGTTGTTCCATTTATAGAGCACAGGCAGAGTAGATTCAGCATAATTCTTAAGGGTCCTAGGATTTTTGGAATAATAAATGAGCATTGGCTTCAACTTAAAGTCACCAGCTGCACTAGCCCCTAAGGAGTCAGCCTGTCCTTTGAAGCTTTGAAAAGTAGGCACTGACTTCTCCTCTCCAGCTATGAAAGTCCTAGATTGCATCTTCTTCCAACAGAAGGCTGTTTCCTCTACACTGAATATCTGTTGTTTAGTGCAGCCACCTTCATTAATTATCTTAGGAGATGTCCTGGATCTTGCTGCAGCTTCTACATCAGCACTTGCTGCTTCACCTTGCACTTTATGTTAAACGGATGGCTTCTTTCCTTAAACCTCATTAAACCAACCTCTGCCAGCTTCAGTCTTTCCTTCTGCAGCCTCTTCGCCCCTCTCAGCCTTCGCAGAGTTGAAGAGAGGTAGAACCTTGCTGTGGATGAGGCTTTGGCTTAAAGGAATGTTGTGGCTGCTTTGATCTTCTATCTAGACCACTAAAACTTTCTCCATATCAGCAATAAGGCTGTTTTGCTTTCTTACCATTCATGTGTTCACTGAAGTAGTACTTTTAATTCGCTTCAAGAACTTTTCCTTTGCATTCACAACTTGGCCAACTATTTAGTGCAGAGGAATGCTTGCATTTTCCATTTTAATTTTAAAATCACAAACCTAGTTTTTAAGAAATAGGTACAATTTAAGTAAGATTATTGTACTAAGATGCCACTTTGATGCAAGATGCAAATATTCTAAATACTTCTTTTCTAAGTAGCTCTTAGTTACTATTTGCCCCATGCTAAATGGGATGACGTAAAATATATAACACATCTACTTTATGGGGTTTGTACAGTAATAATGTACCTTGATGTGCACACTCACTTTTCTGAATTACACATACAAATCCAGCAATAAATACGTGAAGGTAGCTTCTCATATACATAGTTATTTTTATTCTCTCTTAAAATGTTTATGTTGGGAGAATAAACCAAAGGTAAAGGCAGTTGTTCAAAGAAGTTAATCATTCATTTTAAGGGATATGGATACAAGACACACATGACTTCTCACAATTTCTCATAACTTGACTATGAAAACTTAATAATTCAGATCTCTACAAATTCTTGCAAGAGTGTGTACTCAAAACTGCCTATTTTCGTTAGTGTATATATGTCAATGCTACTCTCACTTCACCCCAGCTTCCCCCTCTCCCCCGTGTCCTCAAGTCCATTCTATGTCTGCGAATGTAAAATAGATAGCTAATGGGAAGCAGCCGAATAGCACAGGGAGGTCAGCTCTGTGCTTTGTGACCACCTAGAGGGGTGGGATAGGGAGGGTGGGAGGGAGGGGATATGGGGATATATGTATGCATATAGATGATTCACTCTGTTGTACAACAGAAACTAACACAGTATTGTGAAGCAATTATACTCCAATAAAGATCTATTAAAAAAAACAAAACTGCCTATTTGAAATTCTCTTTAGAATGACCTAACAAGAAGGACTCTAAAGCATTCATCACTTGACCATTTAAGCAGTGAAATGTACCACAGGATATTCTGGACGATAGTGATGTTCTGTGTATACAAAATCCTTATGGAAACAAATTTTTTAAATGTCTAGCTTTCAAGCATCCTTTGTAGTTGCCTAATGCTGATCAGGTAAGGATAACTGACTGTGAATCTAAATTCCAATCTAAATACCCTGTGGCACTGAATTAACAATGAAAAGAAAAATTATTACACTCATAGATTTACTTCCAGTTATTGATTAATACTGTGAACTTATAATTTTTTTTTCCTCTAATTAGGAACACAAATGTAGTCTCCCTCACTTCCTCTCTTCAGGAAACCACAGTATGTTTTTTTACATATTCCAGTACTACGTATGGTCTCAGGGAGCATATGACATACAATAAGTATAAGTATTAAGTTTCTGAAGGTAACATATTCAAAAGTTGGACAACTAATACAATTAATGTTGGTTCCACATGTTTACTCAAAAACACAAAGAACAAGAAACTATAATGAAGCAGAATTCTGGTTTTGGGTTTTCGATGCAATAATTGAATACTGCTATTTCCAGTTATTTTCTTAGGAAAATGAATGACTGAATAGCTTAAATATAAAATTGTTCAAGTGTAAAATGACCTTCTAATGAATATTTCACAGAAGTACATCAAGTGTAGAGAGGGAAATGTTTACACACACAGCACACGCACACAAACCCTGGACTTTTGACAAACACTAAAAACATGCTATTATGTTATAATAATAAAATTTGATTGCCAAATTAGGAGATTGCTCACTAGAAGAGTAAAAGAAGTATCTTAATTTATTAATAATACATTTAAATTCTATTTAATAAAAAGTATCTGGAGTAGTATTTGTATTGAGTTTAGGTCTGTTTTTAAAGATATTTACACTGAATTTTAAAAGATGAGTGTTCTACCAGTGTTCTAGGAAATTTAAGTGGCTCCAAATAATTGGATAGTATATTGTGTGTAGAAAAGTGGGAGCAGAGAAGCCAAGAAGGACTATCAGATGGCAGATCATGAAGCTTCTAATATGTCAAGCTGCACACATGTTTAGATTTTATTCTAAGAAAAAAAAGGAACCACTGAGAGGATTATAAGCAAGCAGTAAAATGATATAATCAGGTTTCAGAAAGATCATTCTTAGAGATCAGAATATGGTGGTACTTAACAACTAAGAATGTGCATAAGATGCCCATAAGTAATTTCTAGAGAGAAGAGAAAAGAAAACTAAGAACACCAAAATTCTAGGTGTAGATAAAGGAAAAAGTTCAAAGAAAGACTGAGGCTATAACTAAAAGCAAAGAAAACACAATGTCAGATGACCAAACAAAATACAGTCTCAAGTGTGGAGGAGTATCAAGTAAGAATTTAAGCAGATAGTCAGAGACCAGAAAATATACCCTACATTTCAAAATTAGAAAGTAACAACAGGCAATCACTGCAGATTCTTTTTTTCAAAAAAACTTTTATTTGAATTAAATTGCATCAAATAGCATAGCTAATATCTTAGTAAATTAGTCCTTGTTTAAAATAGGGAAGAATGATTAAGGGGAAAATTTACAAACTATCATCCCAGAGAAGTTCATTAATTCAAAGCAAACTTCAGTTTCTGTTTTGTTTTTATTTTTAAGAAAAAAGAATAAAGGTGTAAAGATAAATATAAGAGCTAAAGTTATAAAATTCTTAGAAGAAAAAAAGAAAGCTTCATGCATGACATTGGATTTGAAAATTATTTCTTGACATGACACCAAAAGCACAAAGCAACAAAAGACAAAAACAGATAAATTGGACTTCATGAAAGTTAAAAACTTTTGTGCATCAAAGGACACTATCAACAAAGTAAAAAGACAACCCACAGAATGGGAGAAAATATTTGCAAATCATATATCTGAAAAGGATTAATATCTGAATATGTAAATAACTCCCACTCCTCAACAACAACATGAAGACCCGATTAAAAAATGGCAAGGACCTGAATAAATAATTCTCCAAAGAAGATATACAATGACCAATAAGCACATGAAAAGACTCTATCTCACTAATGTTTAGGGAAACGCACATGAAAGCCACAATCATATACCACTTCACACCCATTAGGATGGCCATTATAAAAACAAAACAAAACGAAAACAAAAAATAACTGCTGAGGAGGATATGGGGAAACTGGAACCCTGTGCATTGCCCCTGGGAATGTAAATTGATGCACCCACTGTGGAAAATGTTATGGCAGTTCTCCAAAAAGTTAAACACGGAATTACCATGTTATTCAGCAGTTCTACTTCTGGGAATATACTCAAAAGAATACACGGACTCAAACAGTTATTTGTACACCCACGTTCATAGCCGCTTTGTTCACAACAGCCGAAAGGTGGAAGCAACACAAGTGTTCATCTAAGTATGAATGAATAAACAAAATGTGGTGTGTGAATATAACAGAATATTATTCACCCTCAAACAGGGAGGAAATTCTGACATACACTACAACATGGATGAACTCTGAAACATGAAGTGAAATATGCCAGTCACAGAAGGATCTATATTGTATCATTCTACTTATACGAGGTACATGGTCCCATGCAGACAGACAGAAAGTAGTATGATGGTTGTTGCCAGGGACTTGGCAAGGGCAGGGAGGAATGGGAAGTTGCTGTTTAATGGGTAGAGAGATTCAATTTGGGAAGTAAAAAGGTTGTAAAGATGATGGTACTGATCACTGCAGAACAATGTGAATGTATTTAATGGTACAGAACTGTACACTTAAAGACAGTTAAAATGGTAAATATCATGTTAGGTGTATTTTACCACAATTTAAAAAATGGGGAAAAAACATGACTTACCAGTTCCTTAGCCAAGTAGTCTGCCAGAGTATTTAGAAGCTTGTAATATACTTCAAACCATGGCAGGTAACTGTAAAAAAAAAAAAAACAAAAAACTTTAAAAATGTGTGTGTGTGTGTGTGTGTGTATCATTTAGAATCAAGAAACAAGATGGCAAAATAACATCAAATCTAGATTATTTCAAACAGGTTGATCCTGGAGGGCAAAAAAGAACTATACCCATGTTCTCTTTACTGTTACAGTAAAATTTTACATATAATGTACTATTAGTTTTCATAAAGTAATCAGAATCCAAAATTCCATTATAAAGGTTATTCATTACACGCTTCTATTTTATGTTAGCAGCACCAAAAATCACTTAATCCCACTGTGTGGTAAGCATGGTATGAGTGCACCAAAAGCACTCATAGAATAAAAATTAACCACTGTAATAAGATAATATCAAATAAAAACTAATTTTAAAAAGCTTTTAAAACAAAGATATAATCATTTCTTTTTAAATATTACTGAATTAAATATATAAAAAATAGAATTATGTGCTTATTAATTAAATCAATTCTTTGGAAATTGATGTTTACGTAGGATGGTAAATTTCAAAATAAATATCAGTACAAGAAAGCCTATTTTAAAAATTATAAATATTATAAATAGCATTTAAGTATCAAAAACACGTATAATTTAAAAATCATTTTGATTCATTTTGCTAGATACAAATATAATTAATTTTATGAAAGCAAAATACTAAATCCAAAAATCAATTGTACAAAATAAAATCTGTACTCCTTTTCAACAAATTAAGGTATGTATATTTAAAATCTATCCAAAGTTTTTAATTGTTTATTAAAATGTACACTTTTCACATATAAGAAGAGTAAATCACAACACACACCAGTGTAGTTAATTATCAGTTAACAAATATTCATTTTTTTCTTCAAAGAATGACTGCAACAGACTACTTTTTAAGAGAAAAAAGTGTGATACTTTTACTACACAATTATATACTGACAAGAGTACAGATACACAAAACAGATTTCATAATCAATGACTAGAGCTTAGAAAAACAGCATTCTTTCTGCATTTTTTTCATTTAATGTCTGATTTATTAGTGACCATGAATGATGCTTTTTAATTAGGAGTTGCCTGAAGTCATAACAAAAGAACAGTCAGGTAAATGACAGCATCCTTACTCAGCAGAATGCTATAGAGTTCTTTAAAATGATCATTATAAATAGTAAGTAATGATATAAAAGAGACCTATCATATTTTAAAATATCTACCAACTTTTCATTAAATCTAGCATATTGAGTAGTACATCCATTTATCTCTGTGCCCTTTGGAAATGCCACTAAAATGACTGTAAATAAATAAAAAGGGTATAAATTAATGAGGACAAGGCAAATGCAATAGAAAGCAACAAAGGTGAATGGCTTTGTAAAGGTGGTAAGCAAGCAAAGAATAACTGACTTTGCAGAAAAGAGAAAACCAAAACCTGAGTGTCAAGAGAAGGGAAAATGACCATTAGCCAATAGACTGGCCCCCACAGCATCCTGAGACACTGATCTGGGAATTTCTCAAAGGAAAAAAACACCTCAAAGGCCCTATATTTTCTTGTGAAACTAACCACTGCACATACAATGATGCTAATTCAGTTTAGTGCCTCTATCTTAAATATAAATTAACGGTCCAACCACCAGATATTTGAGGAAATACAGACACCAATACAAACATAAAAGGAACTCCGAGTAAACAAAGACAATACAAACACCAGGTGAAAGTTTCAAAAATTATCATTAATATCCACAGGAGCTGAATAAAGAACAGGAAGCTTTTTTTTTCATTGTTCTAATCTAGTATTTATTTTATTTTTTTTTATTTTTTAACATCTTTATTGGAGTATAATTGCTTTACAATGGTGTGTTAGTTTCTGCTTTATAACAAAGTGAATCAGTTATACATATGTCCCCATATCTCTTCCCTCTTGCGTCTCCCTCCCTCCCACCCTCCCTATCCCACCCCTCTAGGTGGTCACAAAGAACCGAGCTGATCTCCCTGTGCTATGCGGCTGCTTCCCACTAGCTATCTATTTTACGTTTGGTAGTGTATATATGGAAGCAACCTAAGTGTCCATCAACAGATGAATGGCTAAAGAAGATGTGGCACATATATACAATGGAATATTACTCAGCCATAAAAAGAAACGTAATTGAGTTACTGTAGTGAGGTGGATGGACCTAGAGTCTGTCATAAAGAGTGAAGTAAGTCAGAAAGAGAAAAACAAATACCGTATATATATGGAATCTAAGAAAACAAAAAAGGTCATGAAGAACCGAGGGGCAAGATGGGAAGAACAGGATGCTTTTAAACAAAATGAAATATAAAAAAGGAGAAAGAAGTGAAAAAATAAATTTTTAGACAATAAGAACAAGTTCTTATAAATTCAAAATACAAATGCTAAAAAAAATTAAAATCAATAGAAAGGGGGCTTCCCTGGTGGCGCAGTGGTTGAGAGTCCGCCTGCCAATGCAGGGGACATGGGTTCGTGCCCCGGTCCGGGAAGATCCCACATGCATGGAGCGGCTGGGCCCGTGAGCCATGGCCGCTGAGCCTGCGTGTCCGGAGCCTGTGCTCTGCAACGGGAGAGGCCACAACAGTGAAAGGCCCACGTACCGCAAAAAAAAAAAAAAAAGAAAAATCCATAGAAAGATTAGAACCTAAATGATGAATATCTCTTAGGAACTAGGATAAAGAGATAAACAGATAGAAAATAAGAGTAAATATTAAAATATCAGTGTATCAACCTCGACTATCATGTAGTTGACTAATAGTGGTTCTAAAAAAAAAAGAGGGGAAAAAAGAAATGAAAATTTCATTTTAAAAATTACTAGAGGGCTTCCCTGGTGGTGCAGTGGTTGAGAGTCCGCCTGCCGATGCAGGGGACACGGGTTCGTGCCCCGGTCTAGGAAGATCCCACATGCCGCGGGGCGGCTGGGCCCGTGAGCCATGGCCGCTGAGCCTGCGTGTCCGGAGCCTGTGCTCCGCAACGGAAGAGGCCACAACAGTGAGAGGCCCGCGTACCGCCAAAAAAAAAAAAAATTACTAGAAAAATCCCGGAACTTTAGACATGAGTTTCCACATTGAAAGTGCCACTGGGGTAACTGTAAAATAAATGAGCCAAACCAGAGTATCACAGTGAAATTGCAGAACAGGGGCAACAGAGAAGCACCTAAGAATTTCCAAAGAGACAAAACAGGTAGCGTACGAAGGCATCAAATCGAAAATGTCCCTGAACCTCTGTCTCAACAGCAATTCTGGGAAGTCAGAAGATAATGCCTCCAAAAGGCAGAGGTTAAATCCCTTGCAACCTAGAATTCTTTGTCCAGAGAAACTATCAATCAAGTTTGGGGATAGACTAATAGCAGTTTCAGTCTTTCTAGAACTCAAAAATTTACCTTCTCCATAATATTCTTGGGAAGCGACAAAATGCAAGAGTGAAGTAGAAAGGAGGAATATGGGGATATAGAGACAAGAAACTGAATTCCAGGGAAGAACAGGTAAGTCTAAGGATAAATGTGCCAAAGCCTGGTAAGCAACCAGTCCAGATGGAAACAGGGATGAGGGCATTGGGTAGGATTTTCTGGGACAGGGGGTTGCAACAAGCTGACAGCCTCATGTGGGAGTCTCGAAAAACCTGGGTGAGTATGTGCCAAAGCTCTGACGGTTTGGGGAAAATCTAAGAATCAGAAGTTAGCATAGGTAATCTCAATTTTCACGTTTAAGTTACTCAACTCTTCTAACCCTAGTGCTTAGATAGCTAATCTACTTTCTACCATACCTTTTGCTTACAAAAAAAAAAACCCTTAAACATTACTAATACTGTTTTTAGATTATCAACTCAATATCATGCAAATTACCACATCGTATTTTCCATACTCATTATAACTCAATGAAATAATTTTCATGGAGGATGTCCTGCTAAGACACACTGTAGTTCCTTGGATACAGTACAATTTCTTTCATTTGAAGTCATTTCATAGTCACATTTCAACTTTTAACAGCCTGAAGAAATTGCTATTTCAAGAAAATGTCGATGTGTTATGTAATTCAGATCTATATGCTCAGATGAGATGAGACCTAATCTATTCAAGGAACATGCAGGTCTGTTTCTATCCTGCTCTCAAGAATCTTAAGATAAAGCAAGATTTATTGACTTTAGGTGGTTTGCATGTCTACCTGTTAATCCTTATACTGTCATTTTCACCTTACTCAAATAATGTGGAACCTTGTTTAAACTTCCTTCCTGGTTCACTATAAAAATAAGATATGTAATAAATATCTCATAATTATAAGTTATTGCAAAGTGAGAGAATCTCTTTTTTCTAGACCAAATGTTCTGGTTTTCTCATCTTTACGTTATTACTTTTCATCGATTATCTTCCCCTTCCAATTTCTTTTCAAATTATGAAAACAAACTGGAATCCAATTTTTCATTAAAAAGCTAGTTTATACCAAAAAACCCACAATTTATTTGTAAGATTATGGACCTGTTTTTGAAAATGAAACAAACTGAATTAATAATTGATTAAGTCAGTTCACTTTTCAAAATTTAACAGTGCTAGGTATTTTGGTATCATTTTACAATTACTATTATTTTTTATTATCTCCAAGAATACTTTCAACTGCATTGCATCCTGATACCAGGCTATGTTTGTTCTTTATACAGGGATGCTGGATTTTGTTCTCATGTTCATTCAACTCTTGACTCTATTATATATAGATCACTGCTATAAATCAGACTAATATAATTTTTTAACTATTACAACAAGGCTTACACCTATGAGATATTTCTCACAGTGATCTCTAAGGCTCCATCATGCTTAGTTATTTCTGTTTGGACAGTAAGACTTACTAGTCAGGTCTATGCCCATCTAGGGAGTAGAGAGCAGAATCTAAGAATCAGAGATTCCACACATTAAAATAACTGGAAGTACAGAGAATAAAACTTCTTAGGCACTAACTATAGGTATGAAAATACGCTAGGTACTTTATACGTGTTCTCTCATTTAATTCTTA